AGACTCTGTCTCTCCCCCAGTCACTAGACTCTATCTCTCCCCTAGTCGCTAGACTCTGTCTCTCCCCCAGGCGCTAGGCTCCGTATCTCCCCCAGTCGCTAGGCTCTGTCTCTCCCCTAGTCGCTAGACTCTGTCTCTCCCCCAGTCGCTAGTCTCTGTCTCTCCCCCAGTCGCTAGACTCTGTCTCTCCCCTAGTTGTTAGGCTCTGTATCTCCCCCTATCGCAGTGCCCACTGCCCCCTCTCCCTCCCCAGCCCTCACTCTGACAGTGTCTCTCTCTCTCTCTCTCTCTGTGTTTACAGCTTCCCTCTGCTCTGATGTTCGATGCTGTTCATGTTGTGGTGAACGCTGTGCGTGAGCTGAACCGCAGCCAGGAGATTGGTCTGAGACCACTGGCATGTACCACCTCCCAGATCTGGCAGCACGGCACCAGCCTGATGAACTACCTGCGCACGGTGAGTATGGGCAGTGCCCACAGCTGTACATACCCGCACCGCTAACTGAGAAATCCCCAGGGTGACTGACTGAGTGACCGACCCCTTTGCTGTGCCTCCAGTGTGACTGTGATCATGTCAATGAGATGGAGATCTTCCTGCTCGGCTTATGATCCCCATCAGGAGATTGAGATCTTCCAGTGAGTTGGTAATCCCCCTGTGAGCGTGTGATCCAAAATCCCTCCGATCCCTGGTTCTTCCCAGTCTCCAATCATCATGTATCACCTCATATTTACCAGGAATGAAACCCATTTCCCTATGATCAGCACATCTGACCTGTCTTCCTATGTCCTCCCGTAGTCCAAGGCTACCCTCCTCAATAAGTGCCACCTCAACAATTATTTTATTACCATCTGAGCACTTACTGATCAACTCTCCCACATTCTATCCCAATTGTTTATATAAACCACAAGGGTCCCAACACTGACCCCTGTCCCACTGGACACAGGCCTCCATTCGGAATAACACCTCTTTACCATTTCCCCGTGGATCCACCATCTCCCTCTGGATCCACAAATGGCCGAGTGGCGGTTAGCAATGAGCCAAATTTCCTTGGATCCCACAGGCTTTCACTGTCACTGTTGGCCTCCCATGTGGGTCTTTATGAAAAGCCTCACCGGCCAAGTAGACAACATCAGAGGCATTTATTTCATCTACATACCAGTTCCTCCAGCACCTGGCTTGTACCTCACTCTGGATGTGCTCAGTTAAACTCCTCATAGGAAAAGATTGTGTTCCCCCTCGCGGTGAGATTGTGTTCCCTCTCACGATGAGATTGTGTTCCCCCTTGCAGTGATATTGTGTTGCCCCTCACGGTGAGATTGTGTTCCCCCTCGCGTGATATTGTGTT